TTCTGTTCATTTATTTTGTTGCTGAGAAACCAAGGGGAATGGGCAAGGCCCAAAGTACAAGGGAACATCAAGCTCAAAATGAGTGAAAGAGGTGGCACGTAAACAAGGAAGTCAAAATCAGAAGACATAAATGTGGGTTTGAAATCTTGGATATTGGAAGTTACACAAGGATTTGAGCCATCAAAGACAAGAAGTGGTAATTGATTGTGAGCCATAAACAATCTATAGACTCCAAAAGGCAAGAAGTTGAGTTGGCATCAGGATATGATAGGTTGGAGCCTTTGATCAAAGATTTTGACTGTTCTGTTGGGTTGAGTCTCAGCACTTTCCAAAACATGGTCAGCAGTGCAGTGACAGGAAAAACACATCAGGAGTACATCTCTCAGTTGGATCCCATCCAGGGACAGTGCTGATGGTATGTGTGCTGTCATATGTGAAGCCTGCTTGTGGAGTGTGGGGCAGGGAGCATCCCAGTTAGCCAGATAGTTAGGGAACTATGGTGGCAACTTAAGGAAACTTGAGGAATGGGGCAGGGGATCCAGTGTGATAACTTGAAATCCAGCTAAATACTTTAGTCAGATTATTCCGGCTGAGAAGTAATGAGCATGCCAAATATGCCCCTTTGTGGCTTGGCAACCTGCCATTGGCAAACTGTTGCAACACGGTAGCTTTCCCATCACCCCTGGTTCCAGCCCACTTCCTCTCCCCATTCCAATTCGTAATCCAAAAAATCCTCTCCAAGTGTAATACGTTTTGGAACTTTTCAACTTCAGATGTATTTTGGCTTTATTACCCGAGGTAGTAACCTGGGAAAGCAGGTCATCTATTGAATGTCAGCACACTCAATTTTCAACCCAATAATTTGGAATAAAACTTGGGTGGCCTCAACCATAGTTGAGAAATCTGCTCCATTTGTAACCATAGAGTCATACATCATGGAAACAGACCCCCTGGTCCAACCAGTCCATGCCAAACATAATCCTAAGCTAAACTATTCCCACCTGCTTGCTCCTGGCCCATATCCCTCCAAACCCTTCCTATTCATGTACTTATGCAAATGTCTCTGGAAGTTTATTCTACACATGAACCACTGTCTATGTAAGAAAGTTGCCCCTCATGTCCTTTTTAAATCTTTCTCCCCTCACTTTAAAAATTTGCTCCCTAGTTCCTCACCATAGGGAAAAGACAACTGCCATTCACCTATCTATACCCCTTGTGATTTTTATGAACTGCTGTAAGGTCACCCCTCAACCTCTGACCTACCAGTTAAAAAAGTCCCAGCCTATCCACCCTCTCCCTACAATTCTGCCATGAAGATGGCATTTCACTTCAGTGATTCAGTGAAGTCATATTATTTCAAATAGGCACACATGTTACTGAACTTCAGCAATAAATCTTTATAATTTCTCCAGAATTAAGCAATAAATGCAAACATTGTGATATCTTTTCAAATGTGATTTAATATTACATAAACCATACACATTTCAAATAGCAGTATGTTTACAGTTGTTTGAAACTCTAAGTTAAAACTGAGAGAGAGAGAGATTATACATTTAATGGCAAATATGAAATAATAAGGCAGATTTAAGATGGTAAAATCCTCCCAACTTGATGGTTTGCCGAACATTTTCTTCATTTGATGAAGTAAAACTGCAGCGATATTGCAAGTTTCTACCACTGCTTGTTTCTCCTTCTTAATGTCCTTTTTTTAGTCCTTTTCTTTAGTTACAGTCAGTTTGTTTACCCACCAACCAGTCCAATTTACATGTCAATAAAGGATTGGTCACTATTTCTCCCCATGAGCACATTTGCCTCAATTTTCCTCTGACAGAAAAAGCAAAAGATTGCCCTAACCTTGTCAGTCATGTTACCTTTCATTTGCCTGTAATGAAAAGATGGTTACACTAATGTATTTTATGCATTAAAGATAGAGATTTACCAGTGAAATTTGGAGGAATTTCAATAATTCAATTAGATTACAGGCTGGCAGCACTGTTCAAATTATAAAGGACAGTTCAGCTATTTAATATTCCCATTCTTTGGATTGTGCACTGACAACAGATAGAAACTACAATTAGTCCATTTACCTTAAAAGACACAAGCCCCAAAATAATTGATAGCAGTAATAAGTCTCAGCTGGATAGGACTGACTGTTTCATGACAGCCTGCTGGCCATGACAGCAGTGCTAGCAAGTCATACAACATACATCAGAATGACATTTTCAACAAGAATAGAAAGAAGAAAATTAAAAATGGTAACAGTCAGGAATTCCAGTGAATGCAGCTTTGAACTGTGTCATCTTCTAACCTTATTCATTTCATTTGCAATTTTATATTAAAATGATAAGCCAGCAAAAAAGGTCCAACTCAATTTATTTTGGACACATTCCTAAACAAGTAGTCAGTATTTTCCAAAACAAGCCATATTTTCTTAGTCAAATCCATTATATTTTAATTATTGCAAACATATCACTCACTCCAGCGCACAGACTACTGTGCTTGGGCTGAATTTTCACTTGCATGTTGACTGATCTGCATTATACTCGAACAAAGTCAATTGGACATTGGAAAACATTTTCATTGAACTAAACAGAACACAAAGAAACCCTCCATGTTTTCTTTTAAGTAGATTAGTGTATCCTAGAAGGAACTTTCCATAATAAATGGAATACAGCCGTTATTATAATGTCATACCAACTGATGGTTCAAAATACCGACAACACCCTGTTTTAGATAACAAGGT